AAAAAAAAAAAAAAAAAAAAAAAAAAAAAAAAAAAAAAAAAAAAAAAAAAAAAAAAAAAAAAAAAGGTAAAGATAATTTAAACATTATGGACATTATAAGTTATATAAGCCAACCACAAAAAGACAAATACTATATGACTCACTTAAAGTATAAAGTGATCAAACTCCTAGAAACAGAAAGCAGAATGGTGGTTGTCAAGGGCAGAGGGGAAGAGAAAATGGGCAGTTGTTCAACAGGTACAGAGTTTCAGTTTTGCAGGATGAAAACATTCTAGAGATCTGTTGAACAACAGTGTGAATATACTTAACACTATCCAGCTGTAGATCTACAAATGGTTAAGGTGAAAATGTTTGTGTCCTCTGCTTTTTTAACACAATTTTTAAAAAAGCCTAAACAGTACCAACTCATGCAAGAGAACAGTCTGAGAAAAAGAAGAGCAGTAGGACAATGGGAGTTTGCATCTGGAGCAGTAACCTTGAATGACAAGGGTGGAAACAGAGTATAATGTGTCCTCCAGGCTGTACCCACACTTCTGGTTCAAGCTGTTTCAGATCCAATTTAGAACGAGGCCTCCGTTAGTCCTGAAGACTTAATGGTCCTTTTTTAAAGTCTCAAGACTATATGGGCAAGAACTTACTATGGTTTCTCTAAAGACATCCTGAACAGAGCACACAGTTCTTCAAATCTTCACCTAGTCACAGAAACAGCAGTAATCCTCAGTGGGTGGGAAGTCCCCCCCGTCTGACCTCGCCATGGCCTAGATTGAATGCTCCTGCAAAGGGGCTATCCTAGCCTTTCCTTGAGGACTCAAGTGTAGTTAGAAAAAGCAGCAGCCAAACATTTCACGCTCCCTTTGTTTAAATACCTGCTCCATCCTTTTCTTTTTTTAATTACAAATTTTAAGCTTCTTATGTCTGCTCTTTTCCTCAGATGCTGGCTAATGGAATTTGAGTGCTTGGCCTTGACAATACTTAGAAAAGAAGGGGAATATATTCCAATTTTTCCACAGCTGCAAAAAAAAGCAGACATCATGTTGATGTCATAAAGTTATTCTCACAGTGTATCATAAAGTTATTCTCACAGTGGTGAATTGAAAGTGTTCACAAAATATCAATATGAATCTCTTTTCCAATGAGGAGACTTCTAATGCAAAGAGTAACTGTTCTGTTTTCTGTTCAACAAGCAGTCATTTAAGACATCTGGATTTCAGTGTTGCTACATACTTAAAATGTAGTCCTTAGTCTCCAAAAGACTGCAATTTGATTGGCTGTCTTCATAATTTGTATACTTTTATACAAAAACTTCTCTGTTTATTTAAGTCTTATTACCATATTGAACCAGAAGAGGAGTTCTGGCACGTTCTTCTCCCTCCACGCATGAAGACTAATAAAAACGATGACTCCTTTGAATTCTTTATTTAAACAAAAGGTTTGAAAGTCTACTTTTCATTTAAATTAAGGTAGGTTAATGGGATAGATGACAATAGTCACAGGGGATGGAGGAGGCAAATTCAGTAAGAGTCCCTCAATGACAGATCAAGAGACTATAGCAAGAAATGGAAGGAATAAAATCCCAGGGAGGCATGAGGGTTCCAGTCCCTGCTTACTACTGTGAAAGGAAAATAAGTCTTGGGGCCCCAAAATCGCTAAGCTAAAGAAAAAAGTTAAGCTGGGAACCTCTTGGGGCAAACCTGCCTCCCATTCTTTTTGTTTTTTTTTTTGAGACAGGGTCTCACTCTCTCACCCAGACTGGAGTACAGTGGCGCAATCTCAGCTTATGGCAACCTCTGCCTCCCAGGCATAAGCAATTCTGCCTCAGCCTCCTGAGTAGCAGGGATTACAGGTGCACGCCACTATTACAGAACCTGGTTAATTTTTGTATTTTTAGTAGAGACAGGGTTTCACCATGTTGGCCAGGCTGGTCCTGAACTCCTGACCTCAAATGATCTACCTGCCTTGGCCTCCCAAAGTGCTGGGATTATAGGCATGAACCACTGCACCAGGCCACCTCCCATTCTATTGAAAGTCATCCCTCTGCTTACTAAGATAAATGCATATCTGCTTGCCTGCTTTGGAGAGGCTACTCAGAATGGTCATAGGTAGACATAACCTGGAGGCTCCCTCCCAACTTCCAGTTGTCTAGCCTTTGTTTCAAGTTGTCCCACCTTTCCAGACCCAAACCAGTGTTCATCGTACATATATTCACTGATGTCTCCTAGCTCCCTAAAATGTATAAAACCAAGCTGTGCCCGACCACCTTGGGCCCATGTTGTCAGGACCTCCTGAGGCTGTGTCACAGGCTCGTGTCCTTAACTTTGGCAAAATAAACTTAATAATTGACTGAGACCTGTCTCAGATTGTGGGGGTTCACACTACTAACTGTGGAAAGGACTTATCTTTCTCTAGGATGTCTTAATTTCTTCAACTACAAATAAAATGAATAAAAATAGCTTCCTTTCTGATCTCACTGCTTTAATCTCTATCCACTGGATATGAGTATACATGCAGTTCCAGCTCTGGTTACAAGAAGTCTTTGTTTCTGCTTTGAATAGCATTTATTTTTCTTTTACACCGCAAGTTTCATAGAGATAAGCACAGCTGAACAAGGTTTTAACCTGAGGCCCTATTGGGCAGTTTTGCTGCAGGTGCAAAGGTGGGGTAGGGCTGTCAGATAGTTACCAGTGTTTTCCATAGAGCCAATGGCCTCCCCAGGTCAGCAGGCAAAGCCCAGCTGTAGTTTTCTTCCAATGATTTCGAAGTGTTTTAAAGAACACCATCATCTTCTAGAGATTTTCTAGGTTAGTAGAAGCAGAAAAAGAAAAAAATATATAATTTATCCATGGTCATCACATAATGTCCCTATTACTCTGACTTCCATTCTTTATTCCTCTCTCACTCCTTTTTACCCCTTCCAATTCTCCTCTGGCCTCAGCTCATCTTCTCCCTTCTATTCTCATCATCTTCATCTTCTCACCCACCCACACATCCACCTTCCTTTCTTCCTTCACATATTTCTACCTAAACTATACTTCTCTCTCTGATCACTTTTTCCTCATTGTAATGGAAGAGGGAGGGGCAGAAAGAAAGGAAGGGAATTCCCGGCTTCCTCGGGTTTTTCTAACTCCTTACAGCCTGACTTTACCACTGTTTAAGAGTATACATTTGTCCCTCCATCATAATATAAGTGTCCCGAAAACACATTAATAATAGAAAGGGCTAGTTCAAAAGTGAAGAAAACACCAGGTCCTCAATAGGAAGAGAAACAGAAAACATGCATGGAAAACTCAATCAAGAGGCAATGCACGTGGCTATGGAAAAACATTCAACTTCATGAATACTCAAAGACATGCAAATTACAAAGAACTATCACTATTGACCAAAATAAATTTTTAAATGATCATATTCACTGATGATATAATAAAATGATAGACACTCATATACTCCTTTAAAGAAGGTAAATTAGGAAGACTTTACTAAAAAACAAGACAATATAGAATATCTTTATTCTTCATGAGACTTATTATTTGATTACGCTTATATTCTTTTGCTAGTTTGTTTATTAGCCTAATCCTGCTGAATGTAAACTCCATGAGAGTAAGGACATTGTTGTGGTCACTGCTGTATCCCATGCCTAAAGTAAGATCTGGCACACAATAGCTGTTTAAGAAATATTTGTTGCATGAATAAGTGACATAGCAATTAAATATTTTTTTTACCCAAAATATTTACTGATGTGGAAAAAACTCAAAACATAATGTTAAATAAAATTAGCAGGAATTATCCCAATTATGTTCATACATGAGTATACATCAAAAAAATACCAATATAATTAAACAAAAACAAAATTGTTTTTTTCTTAGACAGGGTCTCACTCTGTCACCCAGGATGAAGTCCAGTGGCACAGCTGTAGCTCACCATAACTTCTAGGCCCAAACAATTCTCCTGCCTCAGCCTCCCGAGTAGCTGGGACTACAGGCACATACCACCACTCCTGCCCTTCCCGTCTTCCGTCTGTCTGTCCTTTCTCTCTCCTCTCCTCCTCCTCCTCCTTCTTCTTCTTCCCCTCCCTCCCTCCCCCTCTCTCTGTCTCTCTCTTTCTTTCTTTGAGACAAGGTCTCACTATGTTGCCCAGCCTGGTCTCAAACTCCTGGGCTCAAGCAATCCTCCAACCTTGACCATCCAAATTGCTGGGATTACAAACGAGCCACTACACCTGGCTCAAAAACAAAATTTTAAAGTAGATCCCTCTAGGTTGTGGAATGGTGGGTGAAGTTTATTTTTAAAATTGCAACGTACTTTCTAAGTTTTTGAAAATGAACTTAATTACTTTCTAAATATTTAAGCAAAAATTTTTATGACTATCTGTTGTGAGGTATATACACCAAGAAAAAAAAAATCAACTGTTTCCACTTAAGAGTCCAGTTCTTTTATTACTGCCTTTAAATCCCATTCCTTAAAATTCCTCTAGAGGGAAAAAACATCCTTATCGCAAGCAGCAGTGAAGCCAGTGCCAGGGAGCCCATCTTCCTGTGAATCCTACACACCATCAGGCTGACACACGATTCCAAAGGCATACCTAACTCTTTTTTTGATTACATTTTATTTTTTTATTTTTTATTTTTTTTTCAAATTGAATCTTATTTTTTTTATTTATTTATTTTTCCCATTTATTTTCTTGCATTTTAGGTTTTGGGGTACATGTGAAGGACATGCAAGATTGTTGCATAGGTACACACGTGGCAGTGTGATTTGCTGAACTCCTCTCCATTTGGCCCTAAATCATTCCTTCATTCAAGAGGCCTTTAATAAACACCCACATGGTAGGCTCTGTGCTGGGAGTGAAGGCAAAGAAGAAAGGGTCTCATTCGTTCTCAAGTGCTCACCACTGTCAAACCCACAAGGATAACACAATTATACAATTATGCTTGCAGTACAGTGGGATAAAGGTCAAGGCGTCAGCGCCAGGCTCTGTGAGGGTCTTCAAGAATGAACCTAATCTGGTCTAGGGCTGAGGGGGTGGTGCAGTCAGGGAGGTCTTCCCTGAGCCTTGAAGAATGAGGAGGAGTCACCAAAGTAACGAAGAAGCTTTTTGTGTGCTATTGTCTGAATGCTGTGATCCTCCAGAATGCTGATGTGGAAGCCCTATTCCCAATGAGATGGCAGTAGGAGACAGAGTCTTCGGGAGATACTTGGGTCATGAGAGTGACCATGAAAGGCATTAGTGTCCTTAAAGAACAGACAGTACAGAGATGGTCTCTCTCTGCATTGTGAGGATACAGAAGACAGTTACCTGCAAACTGAGGAAGAGAGCTATCACCAAGCACTCAATCATGCTGGCACCCTGACTTTGGACTTCCAGCCTCCTGAATTGTGAGAATTAAACGTCCATTGTTTAAGCCACCCAGTCCTTGGTATTTTTGTTACAGCAGCCCAAAATGAGAGTGTACAAAGGCATAAAAGACAGCAAAGTGCGTTGAGAGAAACATACACAGGTAATGAGGGGAGAAGAGATTTTCTCACCCATCATTAGGTTTTATGCCTGAGACCGCTGTAGCAAGAGAGAGATTAACAAGAGAAAAGCATACAAATGTATTTAATGTAAGTTTTAGGTGACATAGGAACCTTCATAAGAAAATTAATACCCAGAAACAGGTAAATTCATGTATTTTTATGCTAGGATTGATGAAGTGTGGACAGCCAAGGAAAAGTATGACTGGAAAAGGGGGTATGATCTAATGGTAATAAGGTGGAGAGAACTGAGCAAGGCCTGTTTGTTCAGATTCTTCTCTGTGTGCCGGAGTCCTCAAAGATGAGGGCATTCCTTTCCTCCATCCTGTACTTATAGGATGAGCACCTCTCACTGGATGGTCTTATACAGAGGAAGGTCAAAGAATTCTTTTATGGCCTGCTTCAGGGAAGAAGAGTGGGAAGCTACAAAGTGACCTTCCTGCTTCAGTTGTTTCCTCTAATGCAAACATTTGGGGCAGTGTGTCCTCAAACCCGTCAACAGCAGAGTGAAAATTGGAGTGTCTAGAACAGGGGTTCTCAATCTTTAGTGTAGAACTTGTTAAAAACACAGAATCATGGGAACTGCCCCCTTCCCCAAGAGTCTCATTTGTTTTGGAATTCAGCTGTCATCTTCACTTTTAATAACATGTTGGCTGTAATGGAGGTCACTGCTACACCAGACTTTGAGAAACAGTGGTTTAGAGATAAAGGATTGAGGGCCATGGTGGATTAGAAAAGACCTTCAACCCACACTAAGGACTTAGAGTATTATTTTGAAGACAATGAAAAATCTTTAGTGGGCTTTAAGCAGGTGGGTGATATAATCATATCTGAACTGTTAAAAGACCACTTTATAGCAGAATGAAAAACGAAGTGGAAGCAGCTAAAATTAAAGCTAAGGGGAACCATTAGGAAGTAATTGCCATCGCAATCTCCAGGCACCTAAAAGAACAAACCAAGGTAAAAGATGGATCTGGAAATTTTGAGAAAATAGAAATTGGCAGCAATTGGTGGTCCACTGATTGTAGGAAATGAGAGAGGAGGAACCAAGCCAGGTTTTTGTGGTTGGGTGACTGACTGAATAGAGACTTCAATCATTTAGATTCGGGTGGTGGGTGTGTGGAGGAAAGTAGTGCTGTTTAGGGGATACTGAATTTGACACGCCTGTGGAGCATCCAGGTGGAAATGTTTTTCTCACTAGAGGGTGAACCCCTCATGGGTAAGTTCTGTCTATCCATATGCAGCACCAGAACCTAGTAAAACGCCAGAATGAATGAACCAACCAATCCATCAATGGATCGGATACTATTGGCCCCATTTTGCAAGGGATTATGCTGAAACCCAAGAGACAGAGTAAGTGAGGGGCCACAAGTTAGCGATAGCTCTGGAACTCGAACCCAGGACAGCTGACTATCGCAGTGACCGCGGGATCTGCGCGGGGCCCTCCCCCGCCGCGCCGGCCAGGCCCGCACCCCTACCCTCAAGCCGCGCCGCCGCCCGCACCCACAACCCCAGACGCTCGGGTCCCCGCGGCTCCCGGCCCAGCGCGGCTCCGGAGGCTCCGCCCAGCGCCCAGGGCCCCCAACCCCACTCCCACCCCGCTCGCACGCCCGGTTCTAGCTCCCCGCTATCCGCTCCCCGCCTGAGAGCCGCTGCACTCACCACGGCTGGTCCCGCTCGCAGCTCTGCCTTTCCTGTGTGCTCCCTCCAGATTCCCCGGCTGGTTCAAGGGAAACCGCTACCGCCGCCCTCGCGTTCCGCCGCGGGGCTGAGAGCGCGCGCGAGCCGGGCCGGGGGCGGGAACCGGCTCGCCTGCCCAGGGGCGGTGGGGGTGGCTGGGCCCGCCGCCTGGGGCTGCCTTTCCCCGCGATCCCTCGTTTATTGGCTCACCCATCCTTTCATCCATCTATCCTTTGCGTTATCATATTTGATGGGAAGCCTGCCAAGGTAACACTGTTTTAGCACCTGGAACTAAATCGGAAAATAAATTAACTAAATGAACAAGGCCATTGAAGATGGTGCTCCGTGCCACGAAGAAAATGAAACCGGGTGATGGAAGGCAGGGCGGGCGGGGGGAGAACTGCGTGGAATTAGGCGGCCTGTGCTAGGCCTTCTGAGTGAGGGGCCGTTGGTCTGAGACCTGAATGTCAAGAAGGAGCACCTGAACCGAAGATCCAAGAGGGAGACAGCCTGGAGAGGGAAGGGCCTGTGCAAAAGCTCAGAAGCGAGGCAGGGAGAGCAAAGGAGAAAGGCCAAGCGAGGAAGCTGGAGAGGTGCAGACAGGCCGCGGCGGCCAGGAGTTTGGACATGACATTACACAGAACCAGAAGGCATTGAGGGGGTTCATTCAGGGGCTGCTGGGGCTGGTTTCCATTTCACACATCTCTCTGGCCACAGCGCCTGAATGGATTCTAGAGAGCAAGACAGCAACGGAGAAGCCAGGCCAATCCCAACCTCCAGTTTACACTCAGTACTCGCCCCCCAAATTGGCGTGGGGACCAAGCCAGGTCCTTCTTCCTTCCAGCATTCGACCAGGCAAGGTCTCACTCTGTCACCCAGGCTAGAGTACCGTGGCCTAATCTCGGCTCATTGCAACCCCTGCTTCCCAGGTTCAAGTGATTCTCGTGCCTCAACCTCCCAAGCAATTGGGATTACAGGCGCGCGCCACTAGGCCCGGCTAAATTTTTTTGTATTTTTAGTAGAGACGGGGTTTCGCCATGTTGGTCAGGCTGGTCTCGAACTCCTGACCTCAAATGATCCACCCGCCTCAGCCTCCCAAAGTGCTGGGATTACAGGCGTGAACCATCACACCCGGCCAGTCAACCAACATTTGAGTGTGCGTTCCGCAACAGGCACTGGGGGTGTGCTCAGATACAGTGCCCTTCATGGTTCCTGCCCCATGGAGCTTGCTACCTAGTCTGTGCATTTTCTACGTGTAGACATGCATCCAACCTATGTCTCCCTAGGTGAATACTTCAAAAAAAAAAAAAAATTCGAACATTCAGTGAGGTTATAGTGGAGTAAACATATTCCTTATGCCAGGTACACCAATAATCCTCATTGGGCCACACTATTTAGTAGCAGGAACTTTCTAGCCCTCTCTCCTGAGTTTCCACCTGTAAACTAGGGGACTGAGAACATTATCATTTTATGTGTGTAAGGCCATTTGTGAAGTCCCACACTTAGCCCCAGTACAAACCTCCAGTGTCCCATTCCTCCTCTCTGCCCATCTTAATCACATCCTTCCTGCAGAGCTCACTTTCATGCAGCCTTTCCTGATAGCCATGCTCTTGTTGACCTGCCCCTTTCTTGAATGATTGTAATATTTTTAGACTGCCTCACTTATTTCTGCTATGCATCATGTATTTTTATCAGAAGAATGGAAAGATAGGAGATAAAGGGAATTTGAATACACACCTGCAGGTAGATGTGTAGGCTGGAATTTTGGAGAGCTATACCAATTCTACTGTCTTCCAAATCCCGTTTTACTAGGATGCATACAGACTCCAGAATAATCTGGCTCAAGCTCTAGCCATTCCTGAATGGGTTCCTGCAACCCAAAAGAAACCTGATACTCTGACTTAGGCATCCTCAAGAACTTCTGTTAGGCTGGGCGCAGTGGCTTAAGCCTGTAATCCCAGCACTTTGGGAGGCTGAGGCAGGTAGATCATCTGAGGTCAGGAGTTCAAGACCAGCCTGGCCAGCATGGTGAAACCCTGTCTCTACTAATAATACAAAAATTAGCCAGGTGTGGTGGCAGCTGCCTGTAATCCCAGCTACTTGGGAAGCTGAGACAGGAGAATTGCTTGAACCTGGGAGGCGGAGGTTGCACTGAGCAAAGACCGTGCCATTGCACTCCAGCCTGAGCAAGAAAAGCAAAACTCTGTCTCAAAAAAAAAAAAAGAACAGTTAGTCAAGGACTGACATGAGTTCCATCTCATAGTCAGTCCTGGAGAGTTCCTCTGCTAATCCATGTTGAGGGTCTACGACGCCAGAGAAGACTCAGGTCTGACAACCTGGTCCTTAGATGCCTGTAACAGCACCTCAGGCAAAGTCCCTGAGACTCAATGGCACATTCATGCCACAGAGAAGACCAAAGACAGATCCAAATGTGCACAGCCAGAGAGAAGGGCTTGGCCTATGTACTTCCTTTTCCGTGTTCTTTGTTCACTATCGCTAACAGCTGAGTGAGGTTCCCAAGGAGGAGAAAAGTCATCCCTAGCAGCTACTTGGAATTTGCCTTGGTCTTCAGCTCTGCCTGGGATCTTCAGAGAAGAACATTTTGCACTGTCAAAGACAGGGACTTGTGTCTCTTTTCACATCTAACACATTGTCACATATAATACTACACTTTTTGCATATCGAAATAAGCAACACATTGAAGTATGGGCCCCAGTTGCTTATACGATGAATCTACGTTCCCTTTAGAGCACTGAAGAAATGTACTGACTGACATCCAGTAACTAAGAAATGGAAGAGTCTTACTATATCTCAAGATCTCTAGCATTTTCCAAATACGGTGGCAGACCATCCCAGTAGCTTCTCATGTGTCCAGAGCCAATCCTGAGGTAACATAACATTCTTTTGGCCAGAATTTGTTTTGTTTGTTTTTAATTTTTTTTTTTTTTTTGAGACAGAGTCTCACTCTGTTGCCCAGGCTGGAGTGCAGTGGCCCAATCTCAGCTCACTTCAAACTCTGCCTCCCAGGTTCAAGCAATTCTCCTGCCTCAGCCTCCCGAGTAGCTGGGATTGCAGGTGCGGGCCACCACGCCCAGCTAAATTTTGTATTTTTAGCATAGATGGAGTTTCACTGTGTTGGCCAGGCTGGTGTCAAACTCCTGACCTCAGGTGATCTGCCCGTCTCAGCCTTCCAAAGTGCTGGGATTACAGTCTTAAGCCACCGTGCCTGGCCTTGGCTCAGAATCTGTTATTAAGGATGTGAGAGGGAAATGACTTTGGCCTAGAAATAGGGTGAGAAGAAACTAAGACAGGAGTGCCATGGTCATTCAACAAGAAAGAGATTTTCACTCTCCAATCAGATTGCTTCCTACTGTGGAAGAATGTTCAAGAACATGAGACAAGAGAGAAAGAATCGAGGTTTAAGGTAGTCCCACATTTTAATTTTTTGCTCATTGACAAGATACATAGAGATATGTAATTTTTTATATGTGTATAAAAAATTCTCATACTTGCAACCTCCCTCTCAGTTGCTACATCAACTACATATAGCTAGAACAGCAATGATGGCATGCTAAATTGCTGCCAATTGATTACCTAGAAAGCAGGGACTGTGTGGCTCTCACTTCTCAGTTACCCCTCCCTGCCTTTGCCACTTCCCTGAAGCCCCTGAAATTGGTCAGCTTCACTCAACCTGGTGGTATAATAAAATCCATTGCAGGGATAGGATTTGGAGTGGTTGGTGAACCCACTGCTCTAGGGTCTGAAGCTTACAGGTGCAAAACAAAAAGGAAGGAAGACAGGTGGTATAAATAAACCAAAGGTAAATGGAGCCTCCTTCACCATTAATTCTTAGCTTCATTCGTAACTATTATGTTGTATTATTAAAATGTATTGTGCGTTTTATCTCTTTTTTTTTTTTTTTTGAGATGGAGTTTCGCTCTTTTTACCCAGGCTGGAGTGCAATGGCACGATCTCGGCTCACCGCAACCTCTGCCTCCCGGGTTCAGGCAATTCTCCTGCCCCAGCCTCCTGAGTCGCTGGGATTACAGGCACGCGCCACCATGCCCAGCTAATTTTTTTGCATTTTTAGTAGAGACGGGGTTTCACCATGTTGACCAGGATGGTCTCGATCTCTTGACCTCGTGATCCACCCGCCTCGGCCTCCCACAGTGCTGGGATTACAGGCTTGAGCCACCGCGCCCGGCAGGCGTTTTATCTCCTTACCCTATATTCATTGCCCCCATTCTTCCTTCCTAATAGGAGCTAAATTCTGTTCAGACATCTACTGTTCACCTTCCAGCCCGTTTGCCTGTAACTACATAGCAGGTGACTAGATAACCCCATTCCCCATTGCCAGGGGTTGGTTTACACTCACTTTAGGGAATCACAGTCATTCCTCTTCCATCTCCAGTGACTACATTAGGAATAGATCATGTTGCTCGATTTAGAACAGTCTTAAAAGGAAGTCTGCTGAGAGATCTGTAGGAATGGTTTCCTTCTTCTTAAAAGGGAAATTTCCATTCAAGAAAGAAATGGCAATCAACATTAAAAACATTAGGCTAGGTGAGCTGGGCGCGGTGGTTCACACCTGTAATCCCAGCACTTTGGGAGACCGAGGCAGGTAGATCACCTGAGGTCAGGAGTTCGAGGCCAGCTGGCCAACATGGTGAAACCTTATCTCTACTAAAAATGGAAAATTAGCCGGGTGTGATGGTATCTGCTTGTAATCACAGTCACCTGGGAGGCTGAGGCAGGAGAATCTCTGCAACCCAGGAGGCAGAGGCTGCAATAAGCCAAGGTCACGCCACTGCACTCCAGCCTGGGTGATAGAGTGAGACTCTATCTTAAAAAAAGAAAAAGAAAAAGCCATTATGGTAGGCGAAATAGGCCAGTCACAAAAGACCACATAGTGTATGACTCCCCTTACATGAAACCACCAGAAGTGGAAGATGCATGAAAATGAACATGGATTAGAGGCTGCCTAGGACAACAGCTGTAGGGAGGTTGGGGTGAAGTGGGAAATGACTGCTAATGGGTATGGAATTTGTTTTTAGGGTAATGCAAATGTTCTAAAAATTGATTTTGGTGGTGGTAGGACAATTCTATGAATATACTAAAAATGAGTGAAACATAAATTTTAAGTGGGAAAATTGTATGGTATGTGAATTATATCTCAATAAAGCAATTGTTTTAAAAAAGAGAGATGGTTGCACTTTT